GCTTCCTCTTTCTCCTTGTCCCTCTCCCCCTCCTTCTGGCTTTATCAACCTTACCCTGCTGCTGCTCTTCCTCCCCTATCATTGTCCTCGTTCTCTCCGTCCTCCTTTCCCTCATTTCTTCTCGCCCCACCTGTTCCACATCTTCTGACCGTACTCCCCCTCCTCTTTGTGCTGTCTTCTGCTGGTTCCATCAACAAAATGCAGGCCGGGAGCTCGTTGGTAAATTTGGATTCGAGTGCATGGTTTTGGTACAGATGACTTTACCCAAGTTGGCTTTGCCTTCAGGTTTCTGCTTGGTATGCGAAAAGCCGGTGGTTGCGGTTGCCGGCTTGCGCCGCAGGGTTCTTTGGCTTTGTCTCCTTCCACGGGAGTTCCTTGGATTTCCTTGGACTTGTTTCCTGACATGGCGTTGCCCGGGTGCCTCGATTGTTTGGTATTGTGGTTTTGGGTTTCGTGGTCTTTGTTCCTTGGTTTCTGGTACATTGGTCTTGGTTCCTTGGCCTTGGTTTCTTGGTCTTGGTTCCTTGGTCTTGGTTTTTGGCTCCTTGGTCTTGGTTCCTTGGTCTTTGTTCCTTGTGTTTTGGTTCCTTGGTCGGTTCCTTGGCTCCCTGGTCTTGCTTCGTTCATCGGACCCTTAGTCTTTGTTTCTAGGTTCCTTGGTCTTGGCTCTGTTGGCTCCTTGTTTTGTTCCCTGGTTTTGGCTCCTTGGTTCCTTGACTTTGGCTTCGTGGTGCCCCCGCCACGCAATGCACTGCCAAGCAATGCCATGCCATGCTATGCGTAGCAATGCGTGGCAATGCCAAGCAATGCCACGCAATGCCAAACAATGCTACACAATGCGCCCAAGCAGGAGGAAACACCACAGTCGGCCCAGATTAGTAGGTCGACCCTGCCAAACCAAGGGTGCCCTTGTGTCCTCTGTCTCGCGACCCATGCTTCCTGCATTCCTGTGGCAATGTGGCCCTCGGAAGGGTCTCTTGTCCTCTCGCGTGTCCTGTCCAATCGAGTCCGACCTACTTTAGCTTTGATCACCAGAAATAATTCCGAGCACCAGAAAAATACCGATGTTCGAGGGTTCTCTTGTGTCGGGCCCTAGGAGACACTCGTCCGACACTGTTTCGACACTGTTTCGAAACTCTTTCGGCACTTTTTCTGCGTACTCGAAATTACTTATGGGATGTGGCCCTTAAGTACGATGGGAGCAACCTAACATTAGGGTCGCGACTGGTTGACCGAATCTGGCGCCGCCTCCTGCGGGAGCGTCGCTGGGCTCC